ACACATTGACAGTCTACATGCGCCTCATTTCATGGAATCCGATGTCTCTGCAAGATTACGACAAACGCCTGGAGATTTCAAAGGAGCTCGAACACATTGATGCTGTACTCCTCTCTGGAACGCAGACAGAGACAGCGTCCTCATACGAGACGCACTCGACAGTGGAGTTCCTTATGTTGAAGTTCGGATGGCATCGCAGTATCAAGAACACCACAGGCAATACATCATGCGGCACCGAGATCTGGCTGAGCAGAAGATGGTTTCGGAAGACACAGATTGTAAATACATGGCAGCCCCCACCCGCTTTACGCGGTCGTATTGGCGCCACGCGCGTGAAGAGCGCGATGTTTGACTTCACCTTCATCACAGCATACTTCCCGCCGAGATCGCAGCGCAACACCACAGCCTCCAAGAACGAAGTCATTATAGACAAAATGCTCAGTTATCTGCATGACATCGTCTCGAACCTGCCCAACCGCACCTGCGTTATTTTAATCGGCACCGACCTGAACGACAGCCTCGCACGCACATGCTTGACAGAGGATGACGACGCTACCATAGGCGTCTACGCATACGGTCAGCAGCACTACGCGGGCGAGGCTTTACACACGTTCCTGAAGGACTATGCCCTGTGCGCAGCGAACACCCACTTCCCGTGCGGCCCTACATACCACGGCTTATGTGGTCACTCGAGTTGCATCGACTACCTGGTGCTGCCGATACGCTATCTACCGCGAGTACGTCGCCATAATATTGCCTACCGTTTGACAAAACGGCCCCGAGCATTTCCATCGCAACGACTGATGGACCACATGATGCTGTACATCGACGTAGGTTGCACCCTAACGTACGACAAACCACAGACAACACCACAGCGGGACTACACACGCATATTCTTAGCTTGGAAGGATGAACGATTTTATGAATGGGCAAAGCAGCTACGCGACGACATCGAGGCCGACCTGTCCAAATACCTCAATGAGAACGGCTACCGTGGTATGGCAGACTGGGCTGAACGACATACGATGGAATATGGATGGCAGCTACTGATATCTAAGATACGCACACGGGCGCTGGAATATTTTGAAGCAAGAAAGTCCACGACTGAGATAGAGTACCAGCAGCTTGCAGAGCAACGTCGTCAAGCTCTACACGCACGCGCACAAGCTCGGCAGAACTTAACAGACGATCTTGAGGACACGCTTGCTCTCCACCGCTGCAGTGCTGCATGTAAAAAACTTCGACGCCGACTACGCGACCTCCGAGATGAGCAGCACTTTCGCGAACTACAACAAGCCGACGAGGCAGGAATGTAAGCAGAGGTTTGGCGAGCGTGTCGACGACTTGCAGGCAATGGAAAGGGCCTTGGCAAACGGTGCTACTTCGATCTCCCCGATGCGCGCCCCTCCGTTCAAACATGGACTGCAGATATGGCACTCCCTGGCGCGGAAGGAGGAATGGAGGCGGCACCGGTTGATATCGAGCACTTCATCGACACTGCTGCGTCGAATGACGAGCGCTTCTGCCCTTCTGCACATCAATGGAGACACACCCAGTATGACTTTGATACGATCAAACGCCAGCTACGGAAGAATTGCAAACGCCGACGAGTTGCTCCCGAATGGCCGCTACCTGCTGAAATCTGGTCCCTTTTGCTTGTCGATAGAAGTGATGACAGTCATAAGGACGGCAGCCGCGAGTACGACCACACGTTGACTTTCCCTGGCCCCCTCCTCAGCGAGGCGATCCTCACCCAACTCGCCGCGGTTCGTCAGCACCAACGGCTCAATGCTTGGTGGAACCGATCCCAGACTTATCAGGTAAGCAAGATGAGCAATAAACCACGTGCACGAGGCACTCGACTACTACATGGATTATGTACGTTTGGAAACACATGGGTTGCCTCAAGACAGTCACTCACAACCACACCATTGCATGACACTGAGCACGGCTACGCGCGAGCACGATCGCGCTCTGCAGCGATTACAGTCGGGCTAGCACTGCAGTGGCGCCTCACCAAGCAGCAACGAAGCCACATTACCACTAAGCATGACATGACGAACGCTTTCGCTTCAGTTAACCATTCCTACCTCGACGATGCTGTGGACAGGATATACCTACCTGGCGACTGTACGATCATGAAAAGCAGGCATCGACGAGCAGCGTGTGTGATTAGCGATGGGACCGACACTCAAGGGTATCAGAACACTGTAGGCTGCTTCATGGGAGACGCCGACGCCGCGATCAAGTTCCGCGTGGCCTTCATGCAGCCCGCTACCGAATGGAACGATGCACTCACTACCGATATAAGTACATCGATGGTTGCAGGGTGCGAGTTCACTGGCACCAATGTCGACCTCAGCGTTCGCAAGTACGCCGACGACCTCACCAAGACACACATGTGTCATGATGCGCAGATGGCGGCCTACAAAGTTCAACAATCCGACCAGATCCTGAACGACAAGCTGCGCACCATCGGATTACAGCAGAGCGCGGGGAAAAAAGGCTCTTCTACCGACGTTCGTCGGCACTGGCGCTCACAGATACGCGCGCGCCCTGCACTATCGCAAGATACCAGTTGAAGGCGAAGTACACTCATCGACCTTGCTC